CTTTTTATATTATATAAAATCAGTGTGAAACTTTCACAGAAATGAGCTGCAGGATCCCTTGAGATTAAGCCTAAAATCAACTATTTTAGATTTTAAAAAATCGAAGTATACATGGAATGGCATGGAGAATGTTTACTTTTTCTTTCTCTGCAGAGGTGAAGCCTCATGGTGCATTCTTTGTGGTCAGTGTACATTGGCTGCTGATTTTCTGTGTTCCCTTTATGGCTTTGTAAGGCAGGAGGCTACAAATTAACTGGATTTTGAAATGCAAAGTAAGATATTTTTTTTTCCTTTTACATTTCAACCCCTTCAGGTTGGGAAGGACTCAGCTGGTGCGTTTTATGGCTAACAAAGGCGGGCTGGAGAAAGCTGCCAGCTATGAACGCTTCTAAACCCCAGCCTGAGAAGTTCTCTCTCCACTGAAGATCTGTATCTGCAGTATATTCAGTCCACGCCAACATTTGGGGAGTTTCATGTTTTATCTCATCTAATCTTACAAGACAGCAAAATATTTGGCTGTAGATTCTTGAATTGAGCCCATATCACTTGCAACACATGTTCTGTGTTTTTTGTTGAAGTCTTTATCCTTTTCTCTAAAAAACAAAAAAAGAAAGAAATTGCTGGGCTGGGAAAGAACAAGCAGCATAACTGGAACTTCAAAAAAGTGCAAAAGATCTAAAATTCCACCTGCAGCTCAGTGCTCAGAGAGCATAAACAACCAGATACACACACACATGCACGCAAACTCCATTTTTCTTTGATGTCCCTAATACAAATGCTGACCAAAGGCTGTCTCGCTTACTTTTATGAAATAAACATAAGAAATCAGAGCCCGAGGCAGAGGTATTACGAACTAGTGATTTTCTGTTGTGTTCACTGAAGCTATAAGGAGCAAGAAAACAAGAAAGAATAAAATCCAGGTTGTAATACAAGCCTGAACAGCATATTGATGCCAGTAGGAGTGTATGTTTCTGCTCTTATTTTATTAAGATACATATGAAATTGGTAGGTTAGTCACTGATTTCACAGAAAACCAGTGAGCCCTGGCTGGCCCGCTGTGGGCACCTAGTCTAGGGCTCTTTATGGAGGTAACACCTTCCCTGCTCTGCAGGCACATCCATGTTCCAGCTTCCACACCAGCCTCCTCTTTCACCATTTGTCAGCAAATTTACCGGCTCCCCTCTCATCTTCCGTCCCTGCTTTTACCCACACTGTAAGGCAGATTAGAGACAAACCCTCCCACCAGACCAGGTTCCCCAAAGCCCTGTCCAACCTGGCCTTGAACACTTCCAGGGAGGGGGCATCCACAACTTCCCTGGGCAACCTGTGCCAGTGTCCCACCACCCTCACAGTAAAGAATTTCTTCCTAATATCCAGTTTAAACCTACCCTCTTCCAGTTTGAAAACATTACCCCTTGTCCTATTGCTATCTGCCCTTGTAAAAAGTCCCTCCCTACCTTTCCTGTAGGCCCCCTATAGGTACTGAAGGCTGCTATAAGGTCTCCCCAGAGCCTTCTCTTCTCCAGACTGAACAACCCCGACTCTCTCAGCCTGTCTTTCTAGGAGAGGTGCTCCAGCCCTCTGATCATCTTCGTGGCCCTCCTCTGGACCCACTCCAACAGGTCCATGTCCTGTTTATTTAAGGACACCAACAGTTTGCTGCAGTAAGAGCAACTCTAACACTGAGAAAAATCTTCAGGGAGAGCCAGATTATTGAAAGAAGAGCCACAGGTTTTCAACAAATTCTCTGTGATTGCTGGATCCCAAGACATGCCCAGGCTGAAACTGTTAGATTTAAAAAAAAAATGTTATATTATTATTTATCATATTATATACGATATGTATTATATATTATATTAATGGCCAACTATGCATTATATTATTAAAATAACAGTGACGTTTTAGAGCCATTTCCACAAGTTGGAGCTTCTTATGGTCTTGGGAGGTCATTCTGCAAGTTCATTCTGTAGATCTAGGTATTCTCAACCTCTGTTTAGCTCTGCTTCCCACCCACTCTCTTGACAAATTACATTACCTCCCCCAGAACAGCGCTATGTGAGTTAAGCTGACTGCCCGTCCGCTCCTTTTTTTTTGCCACCATAGTTCTGAGAAATAAACCAAAACCCAACAACAAAACAGTGTATGCTGTCTTGAATATGGTCCTATCAAGAACATGTCCAAATATTATCTCCATCTGAGGTGAAAGACAATTTTCAGGATGATTTCTTCCATACTGTTTTGATTCTCACCATAAACCGATGTGTGTTCATTAACAACTACTGAAAATTTTCTTTGAAGAATATTACATAAGAAAAGAACAGTCATCAGGTGCATAAGCAATGTTTTAATGACTAGATTTTTTTTACAGTAAAATCAAAGTAAGATCAATATCTGAGAGCCAAGGATGCTGAATTATGTCGGTGTTTTCTGACCATTCTAGTAAATCTTGATATTGAGTTCCTGAGTAAGTGGGGCAGAAATCCATAAAGTGAGTTGCTGTGGAAAAAAAAAAAGACATAAAAATAATGAACAGCTTTATGTGAACTTAACAAAGACCAGCTCAGAAGAGAGAACAAGAAGGGAAACTTGAGCTTAAACCTTCATGCTTTCCTTAACCTCATCTGGTAGGCAAGACTGACTTGGTGGCAGTATGCATCTTTTTACTACTGTATCCAATTCAACATCCCTTTTCGAAATTCAGGAACAGTTTAAAATTAATTAATAACATGAATTAAATATGAAGTTATAAATACAATACCTGTCCTGCTCTCTCTCTGTTCAATGTTAAATTTGGTGTATTTTATTTTATGCTACTCACATAATTTCCATTTTCAGTACTTCACCAGTTTTATCTTTAGGTTTAGAATTAATAATCTCTTAAAATGCATAATATCCATTCACACTGCTTAGCTATTTCTTTGCCCACCCACAAATCCATGTTAACACCTTTCTAACAGTCTATGCTTAGATCACTTCTTCACAGCATGCAATGTTTTCACCTTTCATCAGAAACAGTTCTCTAACACTACTTGGTAAGGAGGAAGTCCACTTCTTGAATGGTTTGCCTTTTACTCAAATACAGCCAGAAATACAGCAGCCTCATCCAAACGCTGACCAAAAAGCGCCAGGCATCCAGGAAGTCTGCTCCAGCCTGTGCTACTGCACTGACATTGGGAACTATGTGCACTGGGAACCTCCCCGTGCTTCCCAGCAGAGGATGCGAGTGGGAGCAAAAACAGAATCTTTCTGTGCCCAGGTCATTTTGTGGTCAAGCCTAGGCAACAGCAGTGCTCCTCCAGCATCCAGTTGCAGTTACAATACAGCTCCTCAGGCTCTTGGGGTACAATACTCCGGGATGTATAGGAGTAATAGGAAGATTCTGTGACATTGCAAATGTCAGATCAGGGCAGCACCGTGTGAATCAGGGAGAAAGAAGTGGCTTATTACTAAGCAAACTGCTTCTCTTTATGGACAAGTAACTACAGCTCAGTTATGCACTTAAGAACAGCTTTTTAGCAAATTTGCTTTCTGTAAAGCAAAAGAAATATGGTAGAAGTTACTTTCTACTACATCCCTTCAAACAGAACAGTCTTTGTGCTTGTTAAACTATTATGCAGTATGTAACCTCATTAAGTCTGTGAGAAAGTGGAAAATTTGCCCTTTAGATTGAGTTAGTTTTTTTAATTACATGGATTGTAAGCTTTCAAGATCTAAATCCAAGCTACTAGTGCTTTTTATTTTTTTTAGTAGAGTCTTAAACATGAGAAGATTATAGTTAATGGTATTACAACATCTGTACAGGGTTGGTGGGAGAGATTTGACTGACTCTCTTAGAACTGTAAGAGGGATATATTTAGCTGGTTTAGATTACTGTCTGATTTAAATAGTGTAATTTTTGTGCAATTTTGAGCCTTTCCTACTACAGCAGTTCGGTGGGGTTTTTTCTCTATTATTTGAAGTAGTTCTTAAGTCACTGAGATCATCTTTTGCACTTAAATTTTCAATGATACTTTTGTGACAAGCTTTTTAGTCTTTCTTAATCATCTTTTTAATGCGATGCTGTTAGTATGCAGTTATCTTCTGGATTTCTGTGACTGGTGCCTTCAAGCACACCTCAATGGAGTGTTTCCTTTGCCCTGGCACATTTATGTTGCTCTCAGCTTGCTTAGAGGCCGTTCGGCTGTTAAACAATTTCTTCCCTTGAGGCAATACTGATTACACTCATTTATGACATCGTCTCTGAAAGCAAGTTTTTTGTGATTCTCCAAGGCAGAAATTTATTCTCAGTAATTTTCTTCCTTTACAGATTCCTTCAATAAAATAGATGTTAGAACCAGGTGCGTATAATGGGGATCACACTTTGGTAACAAATAAACTTAAATCATTAAGCCAAGTGAGTAGAGTAATGCAAGACGTGACATACATTGCTTGCTGCCTCAGCTGTCTTTGATCGAATGATGTTAGTGGCATCTTATAGTGTTAGTTACTGGGAGATCCCTAGGTGCAGATCAGTGCTGAGATGTGAGTACCACATCTCATACAAAGCGTGCACCACTCAGTTCAGCTTGGTGGATGGTGACAGACATGGGAGAGAGCAAAGGAAGTGTACTCAGTGTTGCTCCTGCTGTCTGTTCTCCTATGGAGAAGGAAATTGGGGCTGCAGCCACTTATTTTCAGCAGCTTTGAGAGGTTCTCATTTTATCAGAATGATAATAATGCCCATAAAACTGCTAACATTTCTCCCAATTTGTGGAGCTATACCTTCTTTTCATTATTTCGTTAGTTTAAAAACTTGTATAAGTGGCAGACACTAAATGAGAGATAGAATGAGTGTGTGTGTAATAGCAAAGATTAACATTTCCTAAAACAGCTCTTGCGGGCTTTTTCCTGCCATAAAACTCAGACTGTTGTATCAAGAATTGGTGTCTGCTTATACTTGGAAACGTAAAGGGGTGTGGATGACAAACTGTTCCCATTATTCAGTCACTATCCCCCTTTCCCTAAGGATTTTCAGAATTGCTCAGCGCAGCTCTTACCCCACTCAGATCAAAACTGAAAGCATCTCCATGGATGGCTCTTCCATTCAGAGCAACAGTATGAGGTCTCATATTCAGGCCAAGAATCTTGATTTTGTTGTACTTCAGAGTGTCAGCCCCTCGGTAGCCATTTTTAAGTATTTCTGTCTTCAGGTTTCCCTGGAAAAAGCCACAGATAAAACTTTAGGACCATGACAACTCTTGGGAGCCGACTTGGTGTGTACTGTTACTGTTGTGGTCTCATCTATGTCAATGAACCTATAGAAGGTCTTCCACTGTAGATATTGAAGTCTGAAACCATAACGGAAAAACAACAGTCACATTCATTTTCACATAGGAAAGGTTTCATGTATCATTATAAAGAAACAAAAAAAAACCTCCAACAAAATAGCATTAACAACATTCATTTAGAACCTTCTTAGGCATATTTTTTCTACTTGTAATCAATGCAGATTTGGTTCTTGTACCCATTTACAGGGTACAGTGGCATATGCAAAGCCAAAATCCAGATACGGAGATTCAATTAGTGACCTTAACGCAGATTTAATTAACATCCACAACTGCTTTACATCATTAGCATCTTCCACAAACTTCAGCTACTAGATATTTTGCCCCTATTTTGTGTCCCACATCTCCACAGCTCCTGCTAGAAATTTCTGCTATGTCCCAGCTTTAAAGACACTGAAGGGACACCGTATGTTACAGAGCCGCCTTTGATGTACTTCTTATTTACTATATATCCCGTATTTAGGGATGTACCAAGAGGACATACAAAGTCATTAAACAAATTCATTTGGATCACCAGTGACAGTAATTTCCCATACAAGCAATGAAGAAGAATCATTGCATTTGTCATGTGTTCAAAGTTGTTAAGGAAATAAAGATGAATTACTCTGCTCAGGAAATGATGAATTGCAATGCAATCATGACTTTTAAAAAATATGCCAAGAAGAAACCCATGATGGAATCTTTTGCATAAATTAGCTTATGTTATTTCAGTGGTGCATGGTAGGAGGTGAGCAGAAGCTTGATCACAGTATTTGTAACTTAGGGCTGTGCTTAGACTGCTTATTTCAAGCATCCACACTAAAAATAAGTGCTACTCCCCAGCACGTTGGTTTGAACTGCCTAAATAAGGAATGTTGGCTATTATGGAGCTAATGAGGAAAGGTCTCTAAAAGCCTCTGGAGAACATGTTAGGGTACTTATATATGGTGCCTTCTCCCCATTGGCAGAGCTCCAGCATAGAGGGAGATTCAGTCTAGAGAGATCACCTCCCTGTGGTGATTTATTGCCGTCCTTGGGGTGGTTAAGCAGGACAGCTAGTTCAGGGTGGCCACATAGACCCAGTGAGCTCCGTGCGATGCTGAACTCAGTGATTACAACTGTATTAATACCTAAGGTTGCCCTTGAGTTCTGAGGCCCTGAGCCAGGACTCTGCAGTAGACATCACTGTCCCTCTGACACTGGTAATGCCCAAGAAGGTCCTGAGGTCTCATCAGAGGGAGAGAACTTACGGATATCACTCAAAGCCCCATAAATGCAAAGCAAAAAGAAGTCCTGGATCCAAGGCCAGAAACCAGGACTTCCTCCTCTACTTCTGAGCAGCAGTGTCATGAGCTTTCTTTCTTATTGTCTTCCTCTGGTCCTATGAACTTCACTTTTCCCCCTCCTTGAAAATTGGTCCAGTTTTAGGAGGAACTTGCTTCAAGGCTATTCAGTTACCTAGTGGATAGCATATTCCTTCAGAAGTTCCAGTTTCCTTGGGCAAGCCTTCCCATCACCATTCCTTTAGTGTAGTCTGGCCTCACTTGGTATGGCCTGAGCACATCTTGCCTTGCCTGCTGTCTCTGGGGTTGGAGGCAGAGTTTATGGCTCTTCCTGCCAATCCCTGAAGTACAGCATATCTTATACATCTGGCTCACATATTTTTTTAGACTGGTAGGCTTAATATATGGGGCACTTTGACTTAGGTCACGTAGCCATTATACATGTCAAAATAGAGGTGTCAAGTGAATTAAAATATTGACCACAGTGAGACAAGTACCCAAGAGCTGACAGTCTGAATCATTCTCTGAGACTTAAGTGCCTGCACTAGTCTTGAATTCTTTGTGTTCTGGGTTGTTTAAATGAAAATATAAATGAGACAGTCTAATCCCATAGCTGTTACCTGCACAACACTCTGTGCTGGGTTCAGAGTAAATGCTATGATATCAGACCTTATGAGTAAATCTCTTAGGGACCAAAACCTGTGTGTTCTCCTAAAACTATGTGTGACTAAATTATTCATCCACATTTTTTTTAAGAATATAGAAATGTGCAACAAATACCAAGACTTTCATACAATTCTCATATATCTACAATTTGCTATTTGACATGGATTTTTTTTCTTTATAAACACATAATAAATAGTTGACTTTAGAGATTATTGGAATGCAGATAGGAACTTCAGTCACAGATTTACCGTCAAAAGTCAAATATGAGCAATGAGAAATGGAAGTGTCAGCGAATCAACAATCTAATTTTCACAGATCAGAATTTAATATAAAACTGGATATTGTTTTTCTGTAGCCTTCCTGCAATAAATTACTACACACAGACTACAGAAAGCCAAAGTGATTTTATTCCCTTTTGCTATTGAAATATCCTTTTATTTTTGAAGAAGAATTTTTTTGCTTGGTAAATCAAGAAGAAAATAAATAAAAAATTAAATTTAAAGTCTAGACATGTGGTATTAGTTGCAGAAAAGTGTTTCACGAATATACAAGACTACGTCCTAAAACCCATCAGCTTATCCTGGCTTGTGCTTACTCCTGGAAGACACATGCTCTAAGAGCAATATCACAATAGGAGTTAACACAGTTTTATTCTTTTGAATATTTTCTGTAGACTACTTTGGGGCTTTTAGGAACACACAACATGAAAACCATACCACAGTCTAGAAACAATATTCTATTTCTTACTAGATGCTGGAATTGTAGATGAAATATGACACACAGAGTGTAAACTGCTGAAGTAGGTTATGGTTTTTTACAATAACTCCTACAACCTATTATCACCTACATAACAAGCTTCTAGTAGATTTATTTTATTATATTTTTCTCAGTTGATGCCTAGACTGTTGGCTTTTTCTACTGAGCTTTCTCAGGATGTGTCTGCACAGAAGCGAGTGCTGTGTGAAAGGCATCAGTGCTCTGACCCTGGGCTCATCTATTTCTGTGCTATGTGGAACAGCTGACCAGTGCGCCAGGTTGCCGGTAGCGTGCTGAATCACACCATGGGAGACCATCCATGGGAGCAGTCTCCGTGCTGTCAGACAAGGAAATGCAAGCTAAAGAAGTGAGGCTACGTAATTCTCTGGGACACAAAATGCAAGCTTCAAATGCTCAAAGTTAAAAAGTTGTTGAGATAACTTGAGAGGAACGTAGCTTTCTCCTGCCCATCAGACTAAAAGTGTTCAGAGGAGGAAGACAAGGAAAAGGTCCCTTTGTCCCCAGAAGCAGTGATTCAGAAAAAAAAAAAATCTGAGCTGGAAAAGTGGGGTTTCAGATTCACATCACAGCAGCTATGTTAATGATGTGTCGCTATGATACTCAATGAAGGAAACACAAAACCAGCATCATAGTTGGCTTACTTTGTAGCTGTCTGTAAATGAAAGCATTAGGTAGTTTACCAGGTTTAAAAGTTGAGCTATAAGTAAAAATCTTTCCAGAAAAGAGTTACACACCAGCACCTTACAATTGCTACACTAAAGAGTAGCTTCCTGTATGTTTGTAGGTACTTTGTATGTTGCTACTTACTTTGCTGAATGTATATTTAGCCAAGAAGTAGTTCTCATTTTCAATAGTATCTGTCAAAACACAGAACAAGGAGGATTGGTATCAGAATAGGGAGTAAGACCCATAATTAGTTCAGATGAATTGCAGCGAGTGGCTAACATCAGACTAAGATGATATGTAGGTTACTCTCACCTTAGGGTGATCTCAGGGGAATACGACATGAGTAATTTCCCTCTCTAGCAGACCAGCTGTTCCCCATGTCACACCTTTCTCATATCAAAATGCTGACTTTAAGAGCAATCTACTTCTCACTTCTATAATGCTCAACTTAGGGTCAGTTCTCCAGCTATTTCTAGCAGGAGTCGGTGCCATTATGCTGCTGGCCTGAGGAGAGCCCTGTGTACAGACACTGCTTCACAGCAGGGAACCAGGCTTACCGATTGAATCACCATCATCCCAGAAGAGAGACCCAGAAGCTTCTCCTTGCTCATCCAGGGCGATAATGAGCCCAAATGGATTCAGACGGCTGTGGACAAACATGTTTAGAAGTGTCAGCACAAACTGGCAGGCACTGTACAAAGTTATTTAGCAAAAATTTCTGAACACATTTAACTTCAATTTTAAGATTACAGAAAAGGCCATGGCAAAGAGTGACAACCATGCTCACAAAAATAGCTCCTGAAACAATGACAGAAAGTTTACCTTGCCTTGTCCCACTGAAGTGTAAAATGCCCACTTATCGAGTGTTTTTGTGGACAAGTTTCCTCTCCTTTAGTGGCCTTAATGTATGATTATTAGAAAGTCTGAGAGGCAACTGGTCACCAGTGCTACCTTACTATGGTTTGGTTGCTGCACAGTGCTGTTCCCTTTCTTCACTCCTCACATTCACTTCTGAGCATGGTTCAGATGTGAGACCACTGTAATACCCATAAGTGTGGGGAAAACATTTTCCTCAAAAGAGATTTGAGATTTCCCTCCTTGCTCATGGCATTGGATAAATATATCCAAGGAGGAGAATTTTGCGCATTCCCCTTGCAGATGTTTATTTTGAATGACTGGCAGCAGGTCAGTGTGGCACTAAGAGGTGCAAAAGCTTTTCTGAGTGTAACCACAGAGCCAGGAGAAGGTTTCTGCTGTGCAAACTATGATGTGGGTCATCACTGGGGTGACTTCTCCTAATGCAATGGAGTGAATAGTGGGATAAAAATACTATACTTATTGTCTGGGATGGCAGCTGGGAACTAAAGATAGCCTCTCTTTTGTACTTTCTTTTGATTGCTTTTTTGGCTGTCTTGGTCTGACCTGCACCGTGGTGGTTTGGTGATGGACACAGATGATGTTACCTCTTAGTAGTGGTTGAGGCTGGTGCCTGTTCTGGCAGGATGTAGCCTCCACGGATGAACAGAGGGATCTTGTTCAATGGGGCAGCCACAGTAGTATATTTTTTGTTCCAGGTGCTTGGCAGTTTATTACCCTACAGCAAAAATGAATGCAGTTAAAAAAATCCAATCCAAGCACTGTACATTGTGACCATACACCACTGAAAAAGAGACCAAGGAGTACATTTTCATCTCAATTACACTAGTGAAAATGCAAACAGAGAAGCAGATTTCAGGGGTATTATTCCAGCTCCTTTTTTTTAGCAGGAAAGTGGATCTAGCCCTGCAGATATGCATATGCATGAGAAAGAAGCATCATGAATGAAAGACAACAAACTGTCTTTTAAAATGGTATCATTATTCTATATGATGTGGAAAAAAAAGAGAAGGCTCATCAAGACACTGAGCAAAAAGCAAAAGAAACTTTCGCTTCCTCATTTTATGCATATGAAGCCTGTCAGATTTCAGTTTAAGGTAAGTGATTCATAATCATTCAGAAATGTAAACTCTATATTTTCTTCTCTTTTAAGGACAACTCTTCATCTTTCAAAAAGTAATTACAGCATTCAATGAGTGAAATTCATGGATGTGTAGAAAACTAGAATAAGTTCTCTGCATCATTCCCTTTTGGTTTAATGCCTCGAACCCTGGTGTAGGCAAGGCTTATGTACAGAGTAGATAATAGCAAGGCTTTGCTCTTGGATGAACTTCTATCTGAGAATAACAGTCAAATGCTGAAAATGACCAAATTTCTTAAAAATAGGTCAGAATTGACTCAGAGACCATTTCTGCCCTGCCCGTTCTCTCTGCCAGCATCTCTCAGGGTAGTTAACAACAGTCTGATGCTCCTGGGTTCACATTTCCGAAAGCCCTTAGCATCAGCTCAACTACACCTGCTGAAGCCAACGCCGGTCTTAGCCTGCAGATTGTAGCGGAGCGTAGTTAGGTCAAAACTGGGCCCTTTTGGAAATGCAGTACTGGGGATGATGGTGTTTGAAAGGTCAAAACTTGTAGTCCTTGAAACTAGAGGAGGCTGGCATTTTCCACAGAGCAAACTGATCTGCATCTCTTGTAACCATCTTTCGGAGGGGAGCCTCACCCTGCTCTCTGAATATGCCTCCTGCCAAAAGTGGTGTGAGTGCAGAACTGCATGCACAAAATGGTGTGCAGTGTGTTCTCAGGGTACAACTTGGATTTCTCTCTCTGCTTGTATGCAGGGAAGTCTATCAGTACAAGAATTAAAACATGCAATACGGCTGGGGGGGAAGGGGTGGGGAAGAAAGAAATCTTGAAATCTTGACAGTTTCATGAATTTCTAGGCTGCTCTTGAAAATTCAGTTCTCTGTGTCTTAGAGCTTTGCAAACTAAAAATAGAAAATAAAATGGTACTGAAAGCTGTGTAATTTACTTTCCCAGCTAGCCTGGTGTAGGCTTTTTGTGCTCTAGTTTTCTTAAACACAGATGCTGTGAATACTAGTGAACATTGCTAAAAGTTATTTTGCTGGAATTGTACCATTTTAAATTATGTAAAACATGTAAGACACTGAATCTTAAAAATACATACGGTATAGTAGTCAAACCATGTTGCTTCAGGGAAGTATACATCCACAGATCTTGCTCCCTGTAATTGTAATAAAGTGATTAAAGCCTTTTTTCTTTCTGCATTTCTGCTATTACATTAGCTTTATTATATTTGCGCATGAAGAGACATATGCTGAATATTTTAATAACATCAAATCTTGGATATTATGGCTGAGTTATTACAATAGCAGCAGACTAGCACTGGCTAATCTATAATGCCAAACAGACGAGCCTATCCTATCTGGGGGGTTTTACTGCCATTCCATGGGATGAGTCACTGTTATATGATAATTTTGGTCTAGTATACAACTCTATGTCTAGCAAATGTAACTGGCCTAGGTGCACTCCTCTAACATTTGAGCAATCCCAGTTAAGGTCTATGGCAGTCTTTGCAAGACAGGAATTAACATGTGACAATGGGGAGATGCCACTGCTCAGTGTCCTTTGCATCATTCCTGTTGCAGAAACAAGCAGAGAGTAAGGTCTGGCGAGGAGAATACACAGATATTTGTTTTCTCAGCAACAATTTAAAGTTGCAGATAAGTAAAACTAAATAATGTGCTGTTAATTGCATAATCGCTGGTCTTCATTTTACAGCATGCTTTGTATCATTTTGCAGCAGGGACGAAATCACATTAAAGACACTTTGAATTAATAACTCCAGGAAAAGTTGGAATCAAAACATACTTCCTTTTTTGTCACGAGTTGCTTATTCTCACAGATTAATTTTGAGTCTCAACATAATTGTCTGCCCCTTTTCAGAGTTATGGTTTACTCCCAGGATTTACCCCAGGGAGCAGGTGGAGCATGAAAAGTAAAGGTGGAGGAGAAGAGTTAAGGGAAAGTTATCATTTGACATTTTAGAGATTTAGGGATTTCTACTCCAATAGAAGGAGTAAGAAAACTGATTTATTAAAGTATGCAAATCTCACATTAGAATACAAGAATTCCTAAACTGGAAATTTGTCTTGTCCTGAGGCCTGTCTCCCGCAGTGGGCAGTGCATGTGGGTGTTTCAGGCAAAGTGTCCTAGTGCTGCAGGAAGGGAAATTGGGTAGTTTGCTCTGTCTGTTTGGATCTTACTAGCTGTTTAATAATTAAAGGTAGGCTTAATCTATAAAGTGCTTTGAAAACTTGAGAGAAAAACCCTCTAAAGTCAAGATGCCCCTCTCTCCTTATTTTCTCTGTGTGATTATGACAACCCTGGATATTCTGGTCTGGAGAGAAATGTATAACCAGCATCTGAATCATGATAAGCCTTGCCTTCATGGCTTCTAGAATAACAAGCCAGTGTGTAAAGCAGTACCCCGTTTTAATTCTGATGGATGTCTCACTTGCTCACACCCTAGGATTCAAGGAGTGAAGGGAAAGCTGTCCCCTGACCCATATTTTCTATACATGTGGGTGCCATGCTGCACTTTGACACAGATGCTGCTGGCCTGCAATGTCACAGTGAGGGGCTTATAGCTCACCTCTGCCCTGTGCCCTGCTAGCCAGCATGAGCCCTGGCTGTCACCTCCCTCCCGCCAGACCCAGCCACACATTGCTTCCAAAGCTCTGCTTCCCCCATCAGGCCACAGCCACCTGGCCTTCCTTTTGTGCTGCAGTCCCCAGAAAATCTTTAGGAACACCTAACCTAGACCTTCTCTCATTTTATGCATCCTTATAATGTTCCTTTTCATTCACTTCTTTGCAGGAAGCCACCTGGCTTGTAACCCTCTCTTCATGGGAAAGTTTCTCTCACATCTTTCATCATCTTGCTGGTCTGAGACTCTGTGAAATCTCCATGCTAGTCATCAGCTGTTAGAAACCTGGGGGAGTCTGAAGAGGAAGGACTGACGAATTAAGTGCCTCCGTGGAGTCAGAATGGTTTTAGATGCAGGAATAAGAGTTTAATTTTAAATCCACAGAGACACAAGGGCTGGTTTTAAAAAGGTGTCTAACAGTGACCTGTTTATATGTTTGATCATCAGCAAAGTCTAGAAAATGCATAGGGTATTCTGGCAGTATGCTGGTCGCAAACACCTCTAGGATACATCACATGCAAATACTTATCTCTGCTCAGATATACCTTTCTGGTGCTGCCAGCAGTCAGTGGTGGGGCAAGGAGAGAAACCCACCCTTGCTCAGCCCTGACCCCAGCACCGTGCTCAACATAGCCATAGGAAATGCTGCTTTTTAAAACCTGCTGTATTAGCAGCTAATATTGTCATTACTGTCTCCATAATGACCGAGTTTGCCTGCGATGCTGGGAAACTCCTAGCACAGCCCTTGAGGTGCTGCAGATCCAAAACACTGTGCAGGAGTGGTAATATGGAAACCACTTTGCTTTAATATCTGCATGTTTCTTCCTAGCTCGAAAATTACTGCTCTGTGTGTGTCCTAGGAGGCAGCTGTCAGCACAACAACAGGCACAAACGAGGGGCAGCATCCAGCCTCTTTACATCCATTTGGTGCTAGGAGTAACAGGGAAATGCTGTGCCCTCCCTTTCATCTTCCCACTTCAAGCGCTGGGCAGCTCTGTTTTGACTGTGCTGCTCAGAAATCTACAAGCTTTGACAGTGGAGGGAAGAAAGGGGTGGAGCAAACATGCCCTGAATGTCATCCAATGCCCTAAGCGCAGTTCATTTCTTTCATTCCAGTATGATGGCATTTTTTAATTACAGTACTTGCCTCTTCAAGAACGGGAGCAATCATAAAAGCAGGTCCCCAAAGGAAGGCAGTATCTATTCCATGAGTCTGCTGATCAGAGGTAAATCTAGTGTTGAAAGCGAGAAATGCAATGTTAATTCACATTTTTATAGAACTTGCAGAATATTTTGATATTACTCACTGCAACAAGAAATCTGCTTTCTCCAGACATCCTTCAACACTGCCAAATATTTGTCCTGGTTGAGGGAATGCCAAAATCTGGACAGAGAATCAGAAATTACAGTAGCACCTGCCATACTGGAGCAGACCAAAGCCCTCATAAACTGCTGGAGATTATTTTAGAATAGAGTGATGGGAAAAACAACTGACTTCATTTCTGTCTAGTGAGTTGAGACTTCATCAAGGGAGCCAAAGAACACAATAAGGGCCAGGACCAGGAGAGGGAACACAGAGGGATAATAGTGTGCTCTAAGATCTAAAGCATTTGTGAAAATCCTTGGATTTGGATTCCTCTTCCCACACCTTTCACAGCTTTACATCAGAAATCTTTTGCAGGGCAAACACAAAGCAATGTTCATACATACTATGTTTTTTAGCTGTCTTTCCTGAATGGATAAACACTTTGAGTGCCCTTTATTCAATGCATTTAAATTGTTTTGGATTCTGATCATGTCTTCCAGAGTGCTTCCAGTCCTCTTCGCCTGGCATCATCTGCCAGCTTGGGGAAATATCTCTATTCCATCATGCATCAGCTAATGAAAATACTAAATAGCACCTGGCAAAGAGGAGAGATCCTCTCCATCTCAGGAACCTCTACTCATCTGCCATAAAATCCTTGAGATTTTAATAGGCTTTCAATCATTTGTAAGCCTGCCTCTGCGGAAATTCATAATGGGTTCTTGTTCCTTAGTTAGCTTATAAGAATGTCACGTGGAGGGTGTCCCAAGAACTCCTAAAATCAAGGCACCTTGTACCTCCTGCTTTCTTCTGCTCCTCTGCCCCCTTTCCTATCCAGCAGCCCTGCTGTCTTGTCAAAGCTGGCAACTGGGCGTGTTTGCCATCATTTGTTTTTGACAAATTCACACTGGCTGTTGTGTATTAACACATTATTCTCTAAGGACATACAAATTATTCATTTAAAAATGTATTTACTGTGTCTGCTTAACTGACTTGGCATCCATCTACAGCAGGTTTCTGCTGTACACTGGCCGGAGAAGAGCAGCTCAGTGTCAGTGTCCTGCTCTGACACTGTCTGCTCAGATCATAGTGCATTGCATCCAGCCCAGATTTACAGAAATTACCCAAATAAGCAAAAACACCTTGGCAATAAGAAGACATCTATGAGGTATTTGGACTTCTAAAATATCGCAAGTTTAGCAAGTACGTGGAGCTCAGGAAAAAACGTTCTTGAAGGCATGCCTCAGGCTCTGCCTGAAAGAAACGGCAATTTAGAGTCACTTCTGTCAGAAACAGTAGCTCTTTTGGACACCTTAATCTTGGTCGTTATTTCATTTTGACATAATGTTTGTAAATACTTAGTGGGGTGTGTTTTTTTATTAATTACCTTGACTTAAAGTTTTTGAAATAGAAAACAGTTTTTCTTGTCATCTCAATAGCTTCTCTGTATTTTTAATTTTGCTGTAATAAAATTATAACACTGATTCAATATGCTTTGTTGTGGGAGATTTCAGGAGAAAGAGCTGGTCAAGAAATTACAACAAAAGAGAAGTCGATCTCATTTGCATGTGGAACCAAGCATCTCACCATCTAACTCAGCACCGTTTTCTCTTGCAATTATAGCAGCCACGAGCACAAATTCAGTGAACAAATGAACTTTCCCATTCTGAAAGCATAAGCCATTAAGCCCTATCTGTGATCTATAAAAGGTGTTTAATTCCATCTACATGCTTCCTATGGTTTGATGCTGGCCTCTCTCCTGTCTTATCTTTCCCCTCTTTAGCCATTAAGCAGAGCTTTCCCTTCCAGTAATGGCTTACAACCTCCAGGCCTTTTTGGACAGCAGAGCTACTGGCACCTCTGTGTCAAATGAGTGAAAGCCTCAGAGGCACCTGAAACACTTACAGGAATCTACTGGGATGTTGCTCTTGTTTGTTATTTGAAATAAGCACCTAAATATTTGAAATTAAATGAAAAATCTGAAATGGCCACATGAAATGGAAACTCCATATTGTTTGGAGACTCCCTGCCCAGGCAGAGTTGTTTTCACAGTGAGGCTTCTGAACGCACAACAGCTTCACCTGAAGAACTAGTGCAGGGTTTTTTTAGGTCTCCTTTGTACTTGTTACGAGTAAGGAAAATGTTTGATGAAAAAATTCCATCATTCATACATCTAAAATTCTATTTCAGTAGAATTTTTTCTCTAAAACTTACATTTCTCCTCCTGTTATCATTTGGGTCACTTTCTCTACTTGAGCAGACCCACTAAACCAATGAATATTAAGTACAAATAGTAAGAAATACTCATTAAGTAACAATAGTAACCAGAATCAACTAATTATAGTAAGAAATACTTTTAAGCCATTTTAGGATCAAGCTATAGCAAAATCAGCAAGTGATGTGCCCACTAGGGTTGAGGCTGGGTAGTGAAACAGTTCATGCTGATCTCCAGATGCCTATACTCCTTATATGCATTTTAGGAGTTTTGTTTCCCAGTCTGGTCCCACTGTTTAAACTCCCATCAATGGCTGGAGCGCACCTTTTGGCTCAGTTTCACCCAATGAAATTCTCCACTGCTGCATCTGAGGCTGCTCTACAGTTCAAATCAAAGCAAATTTGGAAATTTGCTAATGTTGACGTGGCCCAAATAGAGTACACATATGCAGGAACAGTCAGAAAGGAAGCTTTAACATCGCTAAAGTAATTCTGTATTAGCAGAGATTAGCTAATATTAATGTCAAAATGAATGTGGTCATATCCAACAGTAACACAGATCTCATTAAGTAAAAATAGAGCTGAAATAAATATTTGAAATAACATATAACACCTTGTAAGACATGAGTACCTATAAAACTTCTCCCTAATGTAGCCCATTTAAATAAAGTAGCAGAATAGGAAGGGGAAGGATACTGCTTTTAAAATTTCTCAGTTAACAATTACGCTGAGTAGGCAAAACAGGTTTGGTGCATATCCTTGCCATATTCAAATGGTCTGCACTTTACTGTAATCTCAGTTTAATTTGCAAAAAATGCCTTACCCTTTAGCCAAAATGTTTTTTTCCTAAGAGGAAAAAGAACATTAAACAGTCCAGGACGTAGCCTGCACCAATGAGAGTAAATTGTGTCAGAGCTTCGGGCAGTAGCCTTTCATAGGTATTATTTGCATTCCTTTTTCTCATCATTTCATAAAGCATTCTGAAGTAGAAAATTTACCAGAAGCAGGTAACAAGCTAATTAAAAGATGCTTAAAGGGAAACTAAACTTCACTTTGATTCCTGCTTCTTCCAAACAGAAAAAATGAATTGCTCCAAAAATCTGAGGTCACATTTTCCAAGGGGTTTTTCAGTCTGTATTTATTAATCTCAGTTTTGCACCTGCTTCAACACTCAAACATCTCTATCTCTGTTTTCTCTGTGCAATTTGTGAACACAGATGTAGGTTTCATACATAGTATGCAGATGCAACAGCTAAATTAGAAAATGCAAATGCTGTGGATGATTGGAAAATGGAGACTTCTCTCTATGAGGCCCTCTTGGCATTCTGTACCAGAACACAGATTTCATAGATTTCATTCAATTCACAGAAAAAACATGTACATGATTCCTATTTTTGAAATAAAAAAGAACTGCATATGTGCCTAAGACAAGAAATTTTAACATTTCTCCTTACTTAGGGTTTTTTTCTCACTCAAAACAAATGTAGGTTGTATTTTAAAGAAAACCCATTGCATATATTAAGAGTTAATTTTTTACATGTAATTTGATTAGATTGCATTGTAAAACTGTTCTTTTTAAGAGAGGCCATGCACTAATATTACTGTGAATATTCTCAAACAGGTATCAACTAGTTTATACAGAGAATCTCAACTACTTTTTCAGGTAAAATATGATAAAAAATGAGACTCCAAACTCACTCATGCATCAGTGACCGTGCCACCGTGTTTCCGTGCACATGAGACTCGAAGAACAGGGTGTATAAGTATGGCAGCAGTGAGTATCTGATCCGAAGCGTAGAGCGAGCGATCTTGGCAAACTCAGCTCCGAACACTGCTGGGTCTTGTTCCTGTTAAGGACAAGCTTTGATTTGTACTGAGCATTATAAATGGGGACTGCAAATTCAACCGAGAACCTGCGTGCAACCTAAGGAGAGCTGTGGCTGACATAACACTGCAAAAGTGAATCTTTAAATAAGAAAAAGCACTGATTTGCAAACTGGGAGAGGTATTAGGAACAACATTAATTATCAACAAATGAATATTTGTATAAAATATTTCAAATTGAAAAATTCCAGTGAGTTCAGAGAGATCAGACCCCACCACAGTGTATGTGAGCCGTCAGCAACCGCCCCAGCCTTGTGATTGGAGGAGAGCTGGGGTTTTGTGTCTGTGCTCGTGAACAGACACCCTGCCTCTAGAAATTAATTTATCCTGGAGATGCAAGCCCTCTGGAACAGAGGGGGTGAAACACAGGAAAAAGGAAAGACTGATAATATGCAAAACAAAGGCAAAAGCATAATTATGTTGGCCAGGAACATAAAGGAAACTCTGTTTAAAAGTAAGAGTAAATTCATGGCCCTGCTGAAGCCAACAGGAGTGACCAAAGTAATTGTGTGTCACCCATACAAAGAAGCTTGATTTCTCCTCCTGTGCCCACCATTTTAGGGTGCCCCAATTGAGGGAATACCCACAAACCAGCAGTGCCCCTTGCCTCCTCACTGACAGTGGGGGCATGCATAGTGTGTCCTCCCATCAAGAGAGGTTTAAGCAATCTGTCTACACTTGTTGGTTGCCTCTGAGCTACTTCAAGACAACCTTGACTCTCCTCTGGGATGGGATGCAGAGCATGCAGCCCAGGGCAG